GACATGTTATCAAAGCATACAACTACTACTTCTAACCACGTCGGTTATGTGGTAAGGTACACATTTAAACATATCGAGCATGCGCAAAGTGAAAAGAAATTTGAAGAGAGAAGTTTTTCTGTGATTAGGGTTTGTTTGAACATTTTTGTATTTACTATGAAAGAAATTAAATTTTAAATACAGGATACTGAAATAACTATAGATATTAAACCATAAAGATGGAAATATATTTCAACACAAATGTAAAACAAAATATAACCTTTCTTCTTTTGTTGGAGAAGACATCATTTTAAATAAATAACAAAATTAAAAGATCCTAAAATCTCTAATTTGGTTTAGAAATCCCTAACTTAAATTAAATTTTACATATATAAAGTTACACATTTAACGTTACCACATTATCTGTGTTGTCAACAGAGTAACTAAAATACCAAGTATGTTGTAGTAAGCTTAAAAAGTAATTTCCTTTCTATTTGGTTTGAAATTCAGAGATGTACTATGAAATATTACGAGTAATAAAATGTGCATCCACGTGCGAATTGGCCAAAATTTATTTAGGGCTAAACGTGAGTAAATAATGTATACATATCGGTGCAATATTGGTTTTGCTTAAATATCATTGGTTGGGCTAACATCACGGTAAAGAAATTGCTGTAACTACCGAAGGGATGGGATGCAAAAATGTTTATTAGTGGTGCACTTCTAATTTTATTACCTTATACATCAAATTTTCTTAATAACAATTTTCGATATTATTAAAAATAAAGGTACAACTTTACTCCTGCGTAAAATTCATAATTTTCGACAAACCTCGTATACGACTGAAAAAATTTGATACCTGGTGATTTCATTTAAGTTTTTAGACCATGTAGAACTTTTTATGACGAATAACTTTTTTCATAAAACAAATAAAAAGTTTTCCACATGGTGCCACTTAAGTAACACTAGGGTTGCCACCTTTTTGAAAAGTGAAAAAGGACTACGATGCTGACAGGGGCTCTCGTATACAAAAAGCAAAAAGTCCTCATCCTTCTAAACTTCTAAAAAAAAAAACGGGGAGTCGACAACCAAAACATCCTCGTCTTGTGTAAACCATGTCATGCCCCTTCCAAAAATATGTGCTGTCAGTCAAAAAAGACTTTTGTCGTAAAAGAGGACACTTGCCGTAAAAAGGACATTTTAAGCTTTAAAAAGTCGTAAGGATATTTTGCTTCAAAAAAGGACAGGTGACAACCCTAAGTAAGATATATCGATATAGGGGGTTATGATTGGCAATCTGTGTTATTTTTAACAGGTCTGTTATTTTATAAACACACAGAAATTACAACCTGTTCACAAATAACGTGTCTGTTAAAAATAACATTGCTTGTCCATCATAACCCCCATATTAGTTTTATTCAAGTAACAATTTCAAAAATTGAAAATTCAAAGCAATATTGCAAATTAATAAAATAATAATTTAATGAAAATTCTCGATAAAATAGTTATTTATGGAACAAGTGTGTAAAGTTACTCTTTTTTGACGAATGTGAATAATGTGGGCACGAGCCGTAGGCGAGTGCGACAATCCCATGAATCAAAAAAAGGACTTTACACACGAGTTGCATACAATATTTTTCTACTAACGTACACTTTATTCACTAATATTAGAAATATAAAAGTTACTTTTTTCACTAAAATAACTTTTTTTCACTTTAAGAACTAGTGAAAAAAACTACAACTTTACACACGGTAGTAGAAAAACAATTAATTGTAAACTACCTTTAAATAAAACACTAAAACTGTGTTTATAGTAGAAAGATCATAATTAATCTAATTGTGTTTAATACAAAAAATAATAAAAAATATAGATATAACCGACAAAGCAATTAGCAGACGATGAAGACTATTTTTCTAGCGATAATTACAATGATTTATTCCCTCAAAAATGTGTTTAATTTCTTGTATCTTGTTCGTCTTAATAGTGTTAATATAAACACGTATACCCTTGAAGATTTCATCTCGAATAGTGAACATTCTTGGGAATTTCTATCGATTACACTTTACGTAAATATGTCCCAATTTTGACGCATTTGAAGGGTTTTGGGCACTTTCTACATTTTAAGGTAAATAGATGAAAAAAAGTGCATCAACAAAACATAACGATACAATTTTTTTTTTTTTAAAATATCATAGGGAGGACTAACCTCACGGTAAATAAATTGCAGTAACTACTAAAGAGAGGGAGTGAAACAGCTACAACTACTAAAGGGAAGGGGTGCAAAAAGTTTAATTGGTGGTGCATATGAATGCATACAGGTACAATATTTTTTTTGTGAAAAAATCATTGGGGTGCCAAATTCACTGTAAAGAAACAGCTATAACTACTAAAGGGAGGGGGTGCAAAAAGTTTAATTGGTGGTGCATATGAGTGCATCAGGAGTGCATAACGGTGCAATATTTTGTTTTGTAAAAAAATCATTGGGGGGGGGGGCAAATTCACGGTAAAGAAACAGCTACAACTTCTAAAGGGAGGGGGTGCAAAAAGTTTAATTGGTGGTGCATATGAGTGCATGACAAGTACTAACTGGTGCATTAGAGTAAATCTTAAAATTTTCACCCCCACAAAGAGATGGCTGTAATTTCTCAAGGAAGGTGGTGCAAAAAAAATAATTAGTGGTGCATATTGGTGCATCACTAGTGCATTATGGTGCAATAGTTTTTTTTTGAAAAATATCATTGGGGGGGCCAACTTCACGGACCTGATTATTTATACAATGGTATTATACGTTAACGGTAGTGTAAATAATTAGACTCTAAGGCAGGTCTGCACAACTCAAATTTTGAAAGGGCCAGTTCAAAAAACCGTAGATGAACGAGGGCCTGAGCTTATAAAATAGCCGGTGGTCGAGGTGGTTTTTTAAAAAAAAGGTCTTTATATTTCTAACTCCTGCTTTCGAGCTCCTAAAGAAGGCAATTACTGCCTATATGAAATTTTGTTACAGAAAAATGAAAAAATGCATAGTTTAACGTAGGCGGGCCAAACTGGTCAACGGACAAAGGGCCTCTAAAACAATGGCGGGCCGCATGTTGTGCAGACCTGCTCTAAGGTATACTAGTGAGTAGAATATTAGTTTATGAAGTTTTTCATCCCTTGATAAGCTAGATTGGAATAAAATTGCTAATAGATCTTAATGATCAGATTGTAATAATCATAAATGTTTCTTCATTTGGAGCATTTATTAAAAAAAAACTATTTGTTTCAGATAAGTGCATTCAAAGGAATTTGTGGAAATTAAGCGATTTGCTTTTATATTTTATGAAATGTTTAAAAATTAATTATTTGTTTAAGAATCAATGTTTGAGTTTTGTGTATTTTAAATAAACATGTCTTTTTTTAGTCTAATCATATTTTAGAAAAAAAAGCTAGAATAGATTTCTGAAATATTACTATTTAATATTTCTAAAAGATTTCAAATTTTTATTTCAGAAATATTACTATGAAATATTATATTTAGAGAACATTTTTACGTTTCAGGCACATTTCAGAAATGTTTCGTAATATTAATACGTTACAAATGTTTCAATGTAATATTTTTGAAATATTTTTGAAATATTTCTGAAATGTGTTTGTGTTGTATGGGAAGAAATCAAGGATGTCTTGGTAATTTTCATTCATATTTTTCTCCAGAGTTTAGTGCCTTTTATGTTGTAGTTTGACCGAAAGTTATTAAGAAAAGTTGTTTAGAAACACCATCTAGGTCCATATATCAAATTTGAAAATCCTCGTCAAATTTTAAATCGAGAATTTTGTACCTTTTCTAAGTCTTTTCACCTACTCGGGGGAGGGACACACTATAAATTAGACTTATTTTGACCCTCTACAAGACGTGGTACCTAGCTCTATGTCCTAGCAATTTTCGTATACCTATTTATAGTACATATTTTTATTTTACACGTAGGTACCTGGGTATCATGTTTTCTTAAATGTACATTAATTAGATATAATAAACAATACGTCTATATTGTACGTCAAACGAAACACACCTAAAAACAAAGCAAGGCTCCAGTTATAGGTACCCTGTTTGTTAGGCCAACCTGTATGTTTTAAATCTTAAATAGTTTTATTTTTACTATCTTACTGAGTATCATACAATAAACTGTTTAGTTTAAATACACTCTGTATGTGTTTAGCAAACCAATAAAAGCAGGTTATTATTAATTATTAATAGTTTTATGATAAATAAATACGACAAATTGATAAACACACTAGGTACGTACCTACACCTAGGTGAATATAGGTACAATTCGGTTGCTTCAAATTTCGTATTATTACCAATTTGAATAAATTAAACATTACCAGTTCAAAATAATTAATAACTGTATTCCAAAGTAACATTTAAAGTAGGTAGAAAGAACAAAACCCACCTACTATAGCGGTGTAGAGGGACACGATTCAAGTGCACTTGGCAAACAAAGAAACATGTAAAATTACGTTTTCGATATCGCAATTACTACCATTAACAAATTCGGCGATTTATTTTATTAAACTGGCCTTAATTTTGCCGTAATAGAACGTAGAATTAATAAAGAAAAAAGGTAAAATCTAATTTTAAAGGAGTGGCAAGTGTTTCAAATCTGGCAACGCTGTTAATCACGTCGATACAATACAACGTGTCAGATCACAAAATAATGGCAAGATATTAATTTCTGCTTCGTAATTATAGTATTAAATGAGACGATGCAATTAAAGCAATCAAAAACTACCATAATGAGTTTTTAAGTCGGAAAAAAGTTGTATGTAAATCGTAGTAAAGAAAATAAACAAAAGAATGAAGCTTGGAGAGAGCGAGTTGTTGCGGACTTCGACCAATAGCATTAGCGCACATGCTAACGTCACGCGGATTCAGCCCGGGCAATGCCCCGCAAAGAAAACACCCTATTTTTCTCCAAATCGCAAATTACCATATATAACACGTCAAAACAATTAAAAAAACAAGTCAAATTTGCCAAGTACTTACCTAGCAACTTGGAAAAAGTTTCTTTATAGAAAGTAATCTTGGGATTGTCACAATTCACTTGTTTATTTATATTTTTTTAAACGATTTCGGGGAAGAAGTGGAAGAGAGGCGCCAGAAAACCCGTACGAAAACCACCGTTTCCTCGTAATTAAAGTGTGTCGTGTCCTCTCTTAAAACTTTCTAGTTTCTACGGGAAGAGCATCACGTGCACTGGCTGCTTTATCGACCAATAGATGCGCGAGGACCACCGTCGTGTGTTTTTCAGGGTTACACAAGAGTATGTTTAAGTTGAAATTGTCTTTCTAAACTGCCAGTGTAACTTACACACGACGGCGACCGATTTTCGCACGTTTCAGATAAAGTAACAACAAGAGAAAACCATCACATACACGGCCAAGCTTCAGCGACGCTGAAAACAATGAATGGAAATTTTATATGGATTAAGGTGACAGGCGTACAAGCTGTTGTATTGTGGGCTTCTGACAAAAATCGCTGCTATTCGATTTTCGAATCGATTTTATAAACATCGATGTTCATTCGCAAACTGCCGTGAATCATGCTGAGTTGGCATAGGCGGCGTTTAAGGGATTAAAAGGATTATTGTTTACAATTTATTGCAAGAAATACATTTCTTTGAGATGATGGGATTGGAAAGGTCGTTATAGACATCGAAACTATTCCCTTAATGTATTCACAGAACTGAAATTAGAAAATTAGAAGAATGGATTTGATGTCAGTGAGGGGTAACAGGCGAAGTGTTTTTCTTTTTTAAAACTTAGTATCAATTTAAAGCGTATTGATTGTTTAGTACAGTATTTCAATATAGTTCTGATTCAGTTGTTTAAACGAACACTAGATGGCGTTTTTTAAACAGTAACTAGTTTTTCGAAGTTTTCTTGAAAATTTTAAATAGAATGTTATAATTTTTTTACATTTAAAAAAAAATGAATTCTGACAAGAAACAGAAAAAAACGAGTCTTATTATCTTTTTTCTAACGGAATATAAGCAAAAGTCTATAATGGTAAATATTCCACCTAGATATTAGAGAGATATAGCAAGTTCACTTAAGGTTAGTCACTATTGGCGCCGCTCTTATGTTGACATCTGAGCATGCGCAGATCGTTTATGTTCTAGAACTGACTTTATAAAAGATTTTGCTTGTCCTTAATTCTGGATGTTTAAGGGCAGCAGATAGTGACGACTTTATAGCTTTCGGGTGCGCTCGCCGACATTCGTATCAGTTCGAAGATTTTAAATATTAAAATATTTAATATCATATTCATCTAAACCTTTTAAAATGATAATTTCTAATACCTCTTCAATAGTATCTACTATTTGTGACAACAAAAAAGTTGAACTGTAATTTAAAATTTTTAAAATGAAGTTAGAAATATGTATAAGGACAATGACTCTAATATCAAAATTTCAGTGTGCATTTTGACATGGAATTTATTTGCCTTTAATTACGTTGTCACTGATAGTGGCTGACGTTATAGAAATTTGCAATATCTATTAATAAATAAAATTCTTTATATATTAATCTAGTTGGCTTTGATACGTCAGTAATTTTTCGACAGCTTAGTTATAATGATTAACACAAAAAAATATTACAATCCTAATTTAATTAGGTATCTCTTTAGTTTAAGCTTTTACTGGTTTAATGAAATTAATTGTGCAATAAAAATTGAATATATTAATACAAAAAAACAAACAACTGAAAACAGAACAAAATAGAAAAGAAAATAGTAATAGAGTAAGTAGCGCTCGAATTGTTTTCCATTTTTATCAATACACTTCTATTTCAGCCTTAGGAATATGATCAATTGCAGTTTGTATCCGTTGGATTAGATCTTCTCTACTTACAGGCTGAGTTTGATACTCTACATTTTTAAGTCGACCCCACAAACAAAAATCTAATACGGTGAGGTTGGGAGATCTTGGTGGCCATGGAAATAGACTACTACCTCTTCCAATTTACCTATTCCGAAAACGTTGATTTAAAAAGTATTTTAGGTCATTTGTATAATGTGCTAGGCAGCCATCCTGCTGTATCCACATAACATTCACGTAATACGGTAGTGAAACATTTTTTAATAAAACAGGCAATTCATCTCTCAGTAATGTTAAATACCGCTCACCACATAAATTTTCATTAAATAAAATAGGACCTATAATTTTACGATCTAAAATTCCGCACCACACATTTACTGACCACCGACCTTGATTAAACACTTCTCGTATCCAATGAGGATTGTGGTTAGACTAATAGAGAGTTATTGCAAATTTCTATAACGTCAGCCACTAATAGTGACAACGTAATTAGAGGCAAACAAATTCCATGCTAAAATAAAACTTATTGCAGACCTGAAATTTTGACATTGAGTCTTTGTCCTTATACATTATACATATTTCTATCCCCATTTTAAAAATTTTAAGTTGCAGTTCATCTTTTTTGTTGTTTATAATAGTACATAATATGGAAGACATTAGAAATTACCATTTTAGAAGGTTTAGATGACGATAATATTAAATATTTTATATTAAAAAATTTCGAAATGATACGAATGTTGACAAGCGAACCTGTACTATAAAGTCGTTACTAACTGCTGTCCTTAAACATCCACAATTAAGGACAGGCACAATCTTTATTAAAGTGAGTTCTAGAATGTAAGTGATCTGCGCTTGCTCAGATGTCAAAATAAGAGCGGCACTAATAGTGACTGACCTTAAGTGAACTTGTAATAACTCTCTATTAATGCATAATATGCCTGTTTACTGGAAAATGTAGATTCGTCGGACCACATTATATGTGATAGAAATTGTGTATCCTCATTAAATATATTAAATATAATTTCAGACCTTGATAAAGGGCTACATATTACGGATGGAGAGACAATGTTGTTTTCAAATAGAACAAAGGCAGTAAGTTCTAAGTCGGAAGCAATTTTTCGTATACTTATATGTGAATTTGCTGCAACGTATTCTAATATATTTATTTCGTTAATTTGAGTTCTGCTTCTTCGACGTCGTTAAATAACTCTTTTAGGTAAAACACACCCGGTTTCTCTTAAACGATTTGCCGACTGCTATTATTTTTTTAAATTTTAAATAACTAATTATTCTAAGTACATTTTTTAGTTAGTAAAATTAAATATACATTAAAATGAGTTATTCTTGTGTAGAATTGATAAATAATAGCATTTCTATTTTAATTTCGTCTATATTTACAATAAATCATAAATTTCAATAAAACTTTATGAAATCAATTTAATTACAAATATTAAAACTAAAATGTTAAGTGTTTCGATGAAGCTGAGACTAGCGCTTTTAGCTGTCATGCGAGAGGTCCCGGGTTGGTTCAAATCCAGATTTTTAAATGTTTCTCTTGACTGTCAAATTCGCTTAGTATATTTCAATGCATGTATTCATGAGACAATCGGAGCATTCTCAAAACATTCAAAATATATTTTTTTTCGAAGCTATAGTTTCTGAAATACAGTTGCTAAGAGTCCTTAATCAGACAACTATGAAAAAGTGAAAACACTGAAACAGTTTAAATTTTTATGAAGAAAACACAGTCTTGTAGGGAAGTGTAGTTAATGAAATACGAGTGTTTTTTTGATTACCTTGGTTGAAAAATCAAATAATTGGAAATAATTATAGATTTCACTCTCTATTCGTCTACATGGATGGAGGTTGAGTGAGAGGTAAGAAGTCACAAAGTTAAAATTAACGCCATCTGCACTTAGTAAGCAAAATAAAAGCTCACTTGTAGTACCCAGTTTAAAAATTAGGTGGAACCAAAGAGCCAGGCAAGTAATTTTAAATGTCTATCTCTTGATGATGAGTCCTAATATAAACGTAATCGACCTAAAATGACTTTCTCCTTAGTAATCAACACGGGTATTAGCTACAAAACGAATATATTTCATACCCATTCTACTTAGTAAGAACACTTCACAAATATGAAATTCACCAATCACAGTTCATATTTTAATCAACCGACTGCTATTATTTTTTTAAATTTTAAATAACTAATTATTCTAAGTACATTTTTTAGTTAGTAAAATTAAATATACATTAAAATGAGTTATTCTTGTGTAGAATTGATAAATAATAGCATTTCTATTTTAATTTCGTCTATATTTACAATAAATCATAAATTTCAATAAAACTTTATGAAATCAATTTAATTACAAATATTAAAACTAAAATGTTAAGTGTTTCGATGAAGCTGAGACTAGCGCTTTTAGCTGTCATGCGAGAGGTCCCGGGTTGGTTCAAATCCAGGATAGAGACTGATTAAATTAAATCTTCTTTTCATGTTTATTTTATTTTAAAAAAATTAGTAAAATTCATAAATTATTTTTAAATTAGTTATTTTATCTAAACAACCTAAAATAATTTTTAAAATTTGTAGATTTTCGTTAGTGGGTCGTACAAAAAATATACTGTCCATATCCACTCTTATTGTACAAACTACTATCCGATCTATGTTGTTTTTATTTGGTTATAAATAAATATCCGTTGCAGTGTTAGCGTAAGAAGTAGTTTTCTAAAGGGAAACAATCGCTTGTATTATTTTGCGACACATGACTTTGCGTTTTGGTCACATTTAAGTTTGGAATCATTTTCCTATTTTAAAAAAATATGTTATAAAATTTATATTTCACCTTATTATTATAAAATACGTCACAATATTTTTACTCTGCCACTGTTCTTTACTATCTTCAAGCGAAACCCCTCACCAATCGATTGTAAAAGGTGCAACGCAATCGTTTGCGTATAATCGATTGTTTGTAGAACAACTTGCATTGCAACCGTAGTGAAAATTCGTAGGTAGAGGGGATAGCCACCGCGTGCCCCAAACTTGTGTGTGGTGCGTAGTAAACGTGCGCGTACGAAATTCGCACGGGCTGCGTGCAGCGCTGTTGCCGACGTTTCGAATAATACCGAAAAACTCAATATTTTTCGTGGAAACCACCTGCAAAACTGTAGTAATGATTTCTCGTGGTTCTTAACGGCTCGGAACTCGTGCATCATTGAACGAGATTGGATTATTAACGAAGAGAACGAGCCAAACACGTACGTACATTCACATCCACTGAAAAATCAAAATGTCTACAAACTACACCTAATTTTTTTACCAGCATTAAATCTGGGTACCTGCAATAACTATTGCAGTTTATACTAAAATTGATTACAATTTATATATGAATTTTATTTAAAATTCCTAGTATTTTCAAATTAAAAATAATAAATAATTGTTTTGAGCAAAAAACGGAACTTTCTAAAAATAAATACCTATTTTGTAGAAGTAATGATTATTTTCATTGATGCCAGAAATTTTGTCAGTTGCAAAGGCATAATTATCGGTTTATTTTTTAATTATGTTAATTAATTGCATTCAAAATTCAAGAAAAATGATCTTAAAAGTTTGTGGCCTTCAATTTATACCAGG